TGGACGCTTGGCATAGAGCATGCTGGGTAGGAGTGCAGACTGTCCAGAGAAATTTATCATCTCTGAGCTGTGAGAGAGCCAATGATCAGAGCCTCAGTTTCCACATCCATAAATGGGAAGGCTAACAGCTCCCTATGGGTGAAATACATGAATAATGGGAAGCCCTTTGCACGTGCATGGGATATAGGAAGTCTGTAACACATCTCGACTATCCTATTGTTCTTTTCCTCATCTCGCTAGATATCCCTGATGCCACTCTCCCCCAGAGCTGCCACCTCTCTCCAGCCAGCCTGGCAGGCTGTGTCTCCCACTGGGGGTGTTCCTTCCCCCTCTCTCCGCCCAGCATGGTCCCTTCACGGTGGGTGCTTGGGTTTTAGCCTTTTCCAGAGCACTACATCTGGTCCTCCTGCTCCCAGCTCCTGTGCTCACACCACCTGTCATCCTTTGCCAGGGGGCACAGCCTCCCTGGGAGGGTTGCTGAAGCCCTAGGGTGTCGAGGCTGTAGAGGCCACCAGGCACCACGCTGAGCCCTCGGGAGGCTGCCGTGCTGCTTCCCCATCTGTTCTGGGCCCACACAGCTTTATCCCAAAGGCTGAAACTCAACCTGGGTCCAGAATTTATAAGCCATCCCTGGGCAAGTTGCTTTAGAGGCAAAGCAGTCTCTGAGAGTGTTTTATGGCCTGAATCCTGCTACTGTGGCAAGGCTCTGATTTTAAAAACTGCCAGGAAGACAACAACAGAGAGTTTTCACATGAAGTGGACGGGAAAGAAAGGAATGACAGAGGGAAGGTGTACTTGATACCCTCTCAAGCAGGAGCTATGCCAGAAATGCACCCCTGTTCTCTAACGACCCTCACCACCAGTGAGCCTGGCAGTGCTGGGACTCATCCACATTATCTCATAGATGAGGACCTGGGATCAGAAAGGCTGTGTGATGTGCCCAAGCTCCCCCAGTTTTAAGGAACAGAGTTTGGGCTCCATATGAGGGCTTGTCCCAAAGCCCTTCTCCTTGCGGAGAATTGACAATGGGCACTGGGCATGGTCAAGGCGGTGAATCTGGGTCTGGCAGGGGTTCAGCTCAAGAGCATGGGCGCCTGGCTGACCATGAGGGCATCCTCTCCAGCCTCTAGTTGGACCCAGGGTCCCAGACTGCTCCCTGGAGGCCTGTCTGAGTTACTGTAAAATCCAGAGAAGCGGTACTTCCTGCCGTGGTGGGTCCATGGGGTCCCAAGTCCTTTAGGTGAAATGTTAGCTAGTCATTTGTCCACTGCAGCCGCAAGTCAGCCCACTACACAAAAACACTTAACCCTGGCCACAAGACCTTATTTTTGCAAGGCAAGCATCCCCGGCCTCCACCCTCATACCTACCCATGACAACTAAACATATTTCCAGACGTTATCAAATGTCCCTGTGTGTGTGTGTGTGTGTGTGTGTGTGTGTGTGTGAAAATCAAACAAAGGAATTGAACATTTACCGAGCCACTTCTCTATGCATATACACTTCTGTTCACCAGCTAGGCACAAAGATAGTCAAGATATCTTTTTGCCTCTAGATCAGCGCTGTCCAAGATGGTAGCCACGAAGCCACATGTGGTTACTGAGCACCTGAAATGTGGCTAGTGTGACTGAGGAACTGAAATTTTAAATTTATGTTATGATTTGTTTTAATGAATTTAAATTTAAAATCTAGTACAAAGTATGTTTACTTATTAAATATAATGTTTACATTTTTAAGGTTATATTTCATTTTAACTGATTAAAATCTAGTATCTGAATTGAGATGTGCTCTAAGTGGAAAATGTATACCAGATTGCAAAGACTCAGTGCAAAAAAAAAAAAAGTAAAATACCTTTCATTAGTAATTTGAAAATACTGATTGCATGTTAAAATGATAATGTTTTATATGCACTGGGTTAAATAATATCTATTAAAATTAATTTCATCTGTTATTTTTTCTTTTTTTAATGTGACTCTAAAAACATATAAAATTATAGGGGCGCCTGAGTGGCTCAGTTGGTTAAGTGTCTGCATTTGCTCAGGTCATGATCTCAGGGTCCTGGAATCGAGCCCTGCATCGGGCTCCCTGCTCTGCGGGAAGCCCGCTTCTCCCTCTCCCACTCCCCCTGCTTGTGTTCCCTCTCTCGCCATGTCTCTCTCTGACAAATAAATAAAATCTTTAAAAAAAAATGTCAAATTATATACATGGTCCCAGTTCTATTTTTATTGAACAGTGCAGCTCTGGAGGATTTCCACAGGGGGAGCTATTGCCCCTCAGGGGACATGGCACACTGGAGATAGAGTTTGGTTGCCGTAACGGAGGGATGAAGTGCTACTGGCACCTAGTGGGTAGAAGCCAGAGGTGCTGCTAAACATCCTACCGTGCACAGGACAGCCCCCCACGACAGAGAATCACCCATCCCCAAATGTCCCTCTTGCTGAGGTTGAGGAACCCTGCCCCAGAGCATAGCCAGGAAGTCAGAGACCTGCAGAGCTCGTTGGAGTGAGCTGAGAGAACAGGTTAAGGCGATTACCATACTCAGTTCTCACGACTAATATGGATGGGGGTGCCATGGTCCCCACTTATCCAGAAAAGAAGGAAGCCCAGAGAAGAGAAATCACTGGCCCATGATCGCCAGGCCGGAAGGGGGCTCCGCTCCGCATCCCAGCATCTCCTTGCTACAAGATGAGGGTCTGCGGTTCCCCAAGCTGGTGCCAATCCAGAAAAAGGCAGCCCGAGCTTCGGGTCTAATATCCCCGTCACTCAGAGCCCGCAGTTATTATTTCCACCAGCCCTTCTTGCTACCAGGGGATGAGCAGGAACAAAAACACCCTCTGAAAGGGACATTCTGCTCCAAGAGAAACACTCGCAGGCACCTCACCCATCAAATGGGGCCGAGAAACAAATGGAACGCAATGAAATAAACCTGTTAGAGGAGGAACATTCAGACACCTTAGAGGCAAGAGGTAAGAACAAATGTGCCTGATATGGAATCGGCTCTGTTTAAAGAAAACATTATCAGACTGCTCAACTTGAAGAGATGCCAGAGAACAATGGCCCTGCAGAAATGGAGCTCCCACACGGGCTCTGAGGACTCATGGTGTCTCAGGAGAGGGGGTGTGGGCACAGTAGTGAGAGTCCCTTCCCCCTCGCTGTGAGTGACCAGGCAACTGCATGCAACTCCCCGCCTCCTTGGGGGTGAGGGTGAGGCTGGTGGGCCTATGATTGGGGACGGTAGGGGACTGGCATTTCCTGAAGGCCTACTACGTGCGGCTGTTGAGCAGGGCAGTCTCTAGGGTAGCCTAATAGTGATCTGTAATAGGACTCTGAATGTGACAATTAGATTTGCAGGTGAAAAAATGCTATGCAACTTGCTTTAGGTCATATAGGTAGGGAGTGGCTACGATGACATTCCTGGGGCGTTGGCAGTGACACCCTGAGCTATGGGGGTTGGCGGCAGGGAAAACTGGGCTGCAGTGAATGCTGTTGAGGCTCTGCCCACATCTCCTTTCCCAGGCTGGCACACCGAACGTCCAGCTGCTATGGGTGCTGGCTGCTAACGGCTCACAGATATCTCCTCACCAGCATAGGGGCCATAAGGCAAAGGTGAGGGACCTCTCCAGGCGCCTGTGCACTCCCATAGCAGCCCACAGCTAACGGCCAGCTGGTACCACGGCACAACTGCGAGCGCCTTGGCCTTAAGGTAAGAGCAACTCCCACCCGCCAGAGGCCCCTGTGGGCTCAGGCTGCGACAAGCCTCCACATCCTGCCCTAGCCTGCCTTCCTGCCTTTCCTTCCTCAGAGAATACCCCTCAATGAGTCATTTGCACAGGAATCCCTATCTCAGGCTCCGTGTGTACAGAGCCCAGCCTAAGACATTCTCTAGCAGTGATATTTCTGACTTTGGGGAAGGGGGTGGACAGAAGTGGACCGTGAGGTACTGGATGGCCAGACTCCTGTCATCCCTGCCAGCCACACCCCCTTTCCCACCGTGACAAAGTGGCCGGTCAGGGACTAGTAGAAAGGAGGCCACTGTCTGAATAACCACTCTGAGAGAGGTGACAGGTAATGATTTGAAATTATCAAAGACTTCCACTGACAAGAAAGGGCCCTGAAGTAGCATCTCTAGGTCAGTGGGGTCTCTTTCGTCTGTAGGGCCTGCTATGGGCATCAGCCTCTGACACAGGTGGGCTCTGCATCCCAGTCTTTGAAGAGTGGCAGATGTTTATGGGAAATGCAATCAAACTACAGCGTCCAGGAAAGGGGCTGGTATCTCCTTCACACAAGTACCTACTCTAGGCTGGGCACTTCCACACAAGCCCTTTCACACTCATTATCTTGTATGGTCTCGGAACACACCTCCAGAAGGCTCTGCATATGCAGATTCTAGAAGCAAATGGTGCCCCCTAAGAGGCAGCTGTTAGGATTCCTGCTTAACACATAGGAGAGGTGGGGACCATCACATTTCAAGGGCTAGTCCAGCACACAGGGGAGGCCTGGGATCATAGCCAGATCTACTCATGTCCTAAGCACAGATATAGTAGGCCGACTTCTTCCCCAACCTCAGACCACAGCTCAGTTGTCACTTCCACCCAGGGACAAACGCTCTTAACTCCAGGTATGTGTGTGTGTGTCTTTTGAACACCACACACCTCTCCTTTGTAGCCCCCCTCATGGTTACAGTTGTACATTGATCAGTGTGGCTCTTTCTCTTCCCAGAAAGGCACAGGAACATGTCTTCCTTTCCTCATCATTGTATCCCTCCATGCCTAGAACAGTGCCTGGCACATAGTAGGTACTTAGTAAGCATCAGTACAATGGATGAGTGGATAGATGCATGGATGAAGGGAGGGATGGAGAGATGGGTAGGTGGGTGAATGGGTGGATGGGTGGGTGGTGTGGAGGGACTGCCAGTTCCTCTCTGGTGCACCTGGCCCGGAGGACGCCCTGAGCGTGAGCCACTCTCAACCCCTTCCCACCCGCCCAGGGCTCTGGTGGTCACCTGTGGTGAGGAGGCAGAGTGGAGTCCCCGGGGTCACCTGGGCGCTGCCCATTGGTGCTGACCACAAGGAAGCCAGTCCCCAGGCAGCATGCAGAAGAGAAGGAGAGAAAGAAACACACATGAAAACGTGTGGCACCGTGAACAAAACTACAGTTCTTGTGGCTCTGAAGAGCTCACGCTAAACAGCAAAAGAACATTGTGTTCTAACAAAACAAGGCCTGAAATAGATTTTCAAAAATGAAACGCGAATAAGAGTCAGCATTTATCAAGCACCCACAACATGCCAGGTACTCTGCCAGGTACCTCACTAACAATGTCTCTAAGACTGAGAGCAACCCGGAAAGGTCAATTTTATTATAAACGAACCCCCATCATCTTTCCACTCTGTGTTTTCTCTCCCAGTCTCTGCTTTCTTAGTAAATGGTGGCCCCACCCACGTAGCGATCTGGGAGTCTAGCAATCTGGAAGTCAGCCTTCGCCTCTCCTTTTTACTGACCTCCCACTTCTAATCATTCAGCATGCCTCAGTAATTCTTCTCCAGGAAAGCTCTCGAAGGCTCTCCCTTTCTCTCCAATCTCATTTCTACTTGGTTCAAGCCACCATCACGCTTCACTTGGGATTGCTTAAAATACCAGCCTCCTTGCTGGTCTTCCTGCCTCCGGTCTTGCCCCCCTTTCAATGTACCTTCCACCCTACAGCTGAAAGGCATCAGTAAGGGAAACCTCAGAGCCCCTCCCCCAGCTCGCAGACCCTCAGTGATGAGATCCTTGCCTGTCCCTCCACACTCTCTGCCCCAGGGGCAACAAAATCCTCTCCGTTATCAACAGCCCCCCACGTTCCTGTCTGTAGGCCTTACCCAGGCTCGTCACCTTGTGTAGAATACACTCCCTTCCTACCCCTTTACCCGACTGGCAACTGCTCAGCCTTCAGGAATCAGTTTGGAACTGCTTTCTTGGGAGTCTTTGGTGTCTCACCGTGTGTGGGGTAGATACCCTGCTCTGTCTTCCCATAACCCCCTGGTCCTCCTTTCTCACAGCGATAACCCTGCCCTGTTATTAGTGGCTGTCTTTTCCTCAACTCTGTAAGCTCCCTGAAGGTAGTCACCGCGTTTCATTTACTAAGCGCTCCTGTGACCTTGTCTTGTACCTGGCACGTAGTAGGGACTCTGTGGATATCTGTTGAATAAATGAATGAATGAGTGAAGAAATGAATCAGAGCACTGATATAACTTGCTCAACGTCTCAGAACTAGTAACTGGCAGAGGCAGTATTTAAACCCTGGTTTGCAAGACTAATGCTCCTGGCCCTTTGAAACCGACTACTCGTCTCTGTAAAGAGAATGATATAAAAGGCAGGAAGGTGTCTTATGCTTGGAGAAAGCCTGCATGTTCCTCTAGTGATTCATCAACAAAACTGTATAACGCCCTTATGCAAAATGGAGAGGTAGGGTGTTCCAGACCAACTGATAAACAGGAAGCACATAATTTCAACAAAAATTACACAAATAGCAAGCTTGAGCAATGTCGTGAAATACTATAAAATATAACTGCCAGTCGCAATGTCCACAATAGCCAAACTGTGGAAAGAGCCAAGATGTCCATCGACAGATGAATGGATAAAGAAGATGTGGTATATATATATACAATGGAATATTATGCAGCCAACAGAAGGAATGAAATCTTGCCATTTGCAACGACATGGATGGAACTGGAGGGTGTTATGCTGAGTGAAATAAGTCAATCAGAGAAAGACATGTATCATATGACCTCACTGATAGGAGGAATTCTTAATCTCAGGAAACAAACTGAGGGTTGTTGGAGTGGTGGGGGGTGGGAGGGAGGGGGTGGCTGGGTGACAGACATTGGGGAGGGTATGTGCTATGGTGAGTGCTGTGAATTGTGTAAGACTGTTGAATCACAGACCTGTACCTCTGAAACAAATAATATATTATATGTTAAAAAAAAAAAAAAGAAGATATCAGGAGGGGAAGAATGAAGGGGGAGAAATTGGAGAGAGAGACGAACCATGAGAGACTATGGACTCTGAGAAGCAAACTGAGGGTTCTAGAGGGGAGGGGGGTGGGGGGATGGGTTAGCCTGGTGATGGGTATTAAAGAGGGCACATATTGCATAGAGCACTGGGTGTTATACATAAACAATGAATCATGGAACACTACATCAAAAACTAATGATGTAATGTATGATGATTAACATAACATAATAAAAAAAATATATATAACTGCCAGTCAACTGTCATCGTAATATTCCTCCCTTAATGGCACGAGGAGCTTCACCATTTTCAAAGCACATGCTAAGTCAGAGGTCAGTAAACTGTGGCTCGTGGGTCAAATCCGGGTTCTCACTGTTTCCTGTGTGGCCACGTGAGCTAGGAATGGTTTTTACATTTTTAAATGGGCTGCTATTTTACTTATTTTAATTTTTATGTATTATTTTTTAATTTTTTATTTAAATTTGATTTTAGTTAACATAAAGAGTATTATTAGTTTCAGGGGTAGAATTTAGTGATTCATCAGTTGGGGGAAATAAAACCAAAAAGAAGAGTAATATTTTATGACACATGAAAATTATATAAAATTCATATTTCAGTGTCCATAAATAAAGTTTTATTGGAACATGGTCACGCTCATTTTATATTTCTGATCTATGGCTGCTTTCTGTGCTACCATGACAAAGTTGAGCAGGTGTGACAGAGACCACATGGCCTGCAAAACTGAAAATATTTACTATCTGGCCCTTTACAGAACAATTTGCCAACCCCTATTCTAAGTGGCTATTTTTATTAATTTTTCCCCACCTGTGGAGGTAGGCAGGACATGGCTCACATGTCAGAAAAAGAAACAGAAGGCTTGAGAGAGGACATGACTCCAGTGCTCCCACCTGGCCTGTTTCAGTGGCTTCCTACCTGTTCTCCCCCATGGTCTTGCCTTTTCTGTGCCCCAGAACCCCATCTCTGATTTGTCTTCTAAGACGGTCTGCTTAAGCACTTCCAAGGGTTCCCATGGTCTCAGGACCATGTTCATATACGTGCTACAGGGCTACATACAGTCCTTGGTATCCTGGCCTTGCCTGCTACTTCAGCCCCATCTCTGATCACTCCTGGCCTCTGGTCATATTGGCATCCATCCCTTTGCTTTGACCCATTCAAGTTCAGTGGCATGCTTTCTTGCCTCCAAAAATCTGCACATGCTACTTCCTCAACCCAGAAGTACTCCCTGCCTTACTCTCTAGCCTTGTTCAATATGATAACTGTCACTCTTTCAAAACTTGTCTCAGTAACCATGTACCTGAGAAGGCACTCCCTAAACTGATTTATGTTTCCCTTCTCTGCTCCCATAGCATCCTGGATTTACCTTCATCACGTACTTAATCATGCCGTATTGATATAATTTATCTGTATGCTGTTCTCCCACTAGCTATTTGTAGAGTGCTTATTATAAGCTCAGCATTACATGAAGCACTTTATATGCACTGGCCCATTAAATTCTTACGTTAGCCCTATGAAATAAGTGGTGTTATTGTCACTGTTTTACAGATGGGGAAACCAAGACATAGAGCAGTTAAATGCCTTTTCCAGCCTAGAATCAAAGACTGTCCAAATCCAAAGACAAAGTTCTTAACCTCTCTGGGACAAGAGGCCACAATCAATAGTAAGTTGCACTCAATATATGTTTATTGAGAACTAAATGAATAAATGAAATTCTGGTTTAGTATTTACCTACTAGCTGTGTCACTTGGAAAATGACATTTCTGAGTTTCAATTTCTCTACCTATAAAATGGGAATAATAATAAGTATCTCATGAAGTTCTTTTAAGGAATAAATGAAAAACAGTTGAAACCTGGTTGACAGGCCCAGAGGATTCTCCCCACCCTACCAATCTAGGGCTGCAACTCTGCCGAGCAGGAGTGCTCAGCTATGAGGGGCAGAAACAGAGGTATAGATGGACAGGTGTTGGGATGGGAAGAGGTTTTCCCAGTGGGTGGAATAGCAGAAGATAAGTGATGGATCATGGGTCTCAGCAAGACACAAAGGGAAGTTGAAATAGGAAAGGGGCTCATACATTTTGTGTAGAGATGACTAGTGTTTCCTGGTGCCTGGCCTATCTCTCCTTCTTAGGCACACAGAAGAATCCAAGTCCCATCAACATCATGTAAGTAGAAGTGACACAAGTCATTTCTAAGTGAGGTATTCAAGATCCAGGTTACTAACCCCATACCTTCTCTTTCCCTGCTGTGGGGTCTTTTGAGGCCACATGTATTCTAGATGACATAACAACAAAGAAAATTTTCTGGTATTAAGCTACTGATATTTGGGTATTCATCTGTTATTGCAGCAAAGCCTTTCCTATCCTAACTAATCCAGCAGGAGAAAAGGTAGTAGTCCCTTGCCTTCTCTTCTATCACCTGGTTGCCCCATCATACAGCTTTTCTATTAGAGGATTCATGACTCCACTCTCTCCATATTTCCAGCCTATGTTCATATATATTTATATGAAAATTAATTAATGAAAATAGTAAGACCATGCAAAGAAGAAGGAGGTCAGAATGCTGAGTGCCTCAGACTTCCTTTCTGACTTTTATTCCCTTCTAAGGCAAAGAATGTTGAGTAGAGAGAGATGCTGATGGGCTAAATATGACACTGGAGCCGATAACCTTGAAGACAAACTAACTTCTTGGTTTATCAGCTTCAATCTACTATAGTAATGTAGAAGGCTGAGGGCTCTTTGTGGCACCAGGTCTGCTACAGATTCCAGAACTTAGCCTGGACACTACTGAAGAGAGACAGAAGACCCATCATACCCTAAAGATTCTACTATCAACTATTACTGGAAAAGAGGCAGGGGAAGGGTTTAACAGACTCTGACAGTGGCTCATAGAATTTCACCCAGTCTACATCACTGACAAGATTCAAAATGGTGCCCTGGGAATGCCATAAGCTTTGGAGTTAGAGCTACAATTCTGTGGATCCTTGAGGTCTTTATTCAACCCTTCTGGGCTTCTACTGCTTCATTTCTTAAGTAAGGGTAATAAACATGACCA